TCGGTGTAGGAAAAGATTTTAGGAACAAAACCTCAGTTGCCCATGAACTAGCACAAACAATCAACAAGTGGGATCTGTTCTTATTAAAAAGCTTCTGCACAGCAAGAGAAACCACCAGCAGTGTGAAGAGACAACCCACAATTTGGGGAAAATTTTTCACCTGGTATTCCTCAGAAAAAGGCCTATTATCTAAAATCTATAAAGAACTTTAAAAAATCAGACCTCCCAGATTTAAAGACCCAAACCAAAAATGGGCATCTGAAATGAACAGATATTTCTCAGACAAAGAAGTAGAAATAGCAAATGAACGTATGAAAAAATGTTCAACATCACTGGTCATTCTAGAGATGCAAATGAAAACAACACTGAGATTCCACCTCACCCCAGAAAGAATGGCTGCTATCATGAAATCAACCAATAACAAATGTTGGCGGGGCTGTGGGGAAAGAGGAACACTGCTCCATTGGTGCTGGGAGTGTAGACTGGTGCAAGCACTGTGGAAATCAGTATGGAGATACCTCAAAGAACTAGGACTGGAAGTCCCATTTGACCCAGCTATTCCCCTGCTGGGGATCTTCCCCAAAGAATTAAGAGAATCGTACCACAGTGATACATGTGCACCCATGTTCATTTTCATAGTAGCACAATTTGTAATAGCTAAAACTTGGAATCCACCCATTTGCCCATCAACTAGAGAGTGGATGAAGACAATGTGTTTTTTTTTAATAAAATGGAATACTACTCAGCCATAAAAAATGAGAAATTAGAGACATGTATAGCTAAATGGATGCACACTGAGGTGATACTCTGAAGTGAAATAAATAGGACACACATATGTAAATACCAAATAGTTTCTCTAGTGTGAGAAACAAAGTGTAAATAAGGACTATAATGTATAACAGATAATGTGAAATAGAAAAGGGGGGAAGGGAAAGTGGGAGGGGTAGGAGAAAGGAAAGAAGGGAAGGGAATTAATATGAGAAAATGAAAAAATGGAAACAAAGTCTTTGTAAATAGGGAGGGATGCAGGGGTTGAAGGGAGGGCAGGGGAAGGGGGAAAAATAAGAACCAAGAGAGACTATGTAAAGGTGCAATTTTCCAATGATGAATGTCATTATATTGTATACAAAATGTACCAATAAAATTAGTTAAAAATTTTTAAAAATTCCTAAAATCTGACAGACTTATATTCCTAACAAGGAAACACTTTGCCATGCCTAAACTTTAAAATATCTAATGTTATTATTATAACTGTAGTGATTTTAAATATTCCATTACTCTCTTCATTGTGATTAATGTATTCCATACATTAAAAACACAAATCTAAGTGGGCATATTTGTGCACACCTGTAATTCCAGTACTCTGAGAGGCTGAGGCAAGAGAATCTAGAGTTCAAGCACCTTGATGACTTAATGACACCCTGTGTTAAAATTTTAAAAAGTCTGGGGACAGAGTGAAGACCCTCAGTTCATTCTTCAGTATTGAAAAAAAAAGATTCACATGCGAAAAACAAATCTAAGATGAGTTTTAGAACATTAAAGTAAGTTTAAATGAATTGAAAATTTTAAGATTACAGGTTGGGTATATAGTTTTATAGTAGACTGTGTGATTAGCATGACTGAGGCCTTGAGTCCCATCCCTAGAACTGAAAATAAAAAAGTAAAAATTTAAGAAAGAATCTATAGACAAATTTCTCATGCAGATTTCCAGTAGCACAAACTCTTGGTGATGTTAGGTCCTTACACAATTTTACCTCATCAGATTCAGATAAATCTACATGTGCAATGCTTCCACTGGTTCAAGCTCTCTTTCTTCAGTTAACTTCCTTTGTAATTTGTGTGAATTCAGTGTTCTTTAGTACTCATTCTGAGTTGGAAGACCATGAACTTTAAATGAGATTTTGATGACATCTATCTCGTTGCTTCTGAGTACTTCACAAACTTTGTATTCAAAGTTAAAACATCAACAAAAATGACCCTGGAATGTTTAGCCAAGAAATTTAATTTTGGGGTGCCAACTCCAGGATAAATTGGTTTCAGATAGTATGTAAATGAGTTTTTTGCTCTATAGAGTTATTAGCCATAACCACCTAAATGCCATGAAATGCTATGTCCCAAATGACATCTTTGGGTAATGAAGACTGAATTTCAAGCCATTCTTTGTTGTAGTTCCTAGCAATAAAAAAATCAGGGATAAAGCATTGACTTGTGACTATTTTTCCAAAAATGATAACAAGCCATTAATGTACAGCTTTGAAAAAAGATGAAGGAAGTATAGAACACATAGCTATTTTGATCCTTTAAAAGTCATTTTCAAATCCATCAAGAATTTATTTCTCCCAGCCCGAGCATTTATCTCAGTGGCACCATGCCTGCCTGGCAAGCACGAGATCCTGAGTTCAATCCCCAGTACCAAAAAAAATGAATTTATTTCTCCCAATCTTGATTCTCTTGGAGAACTGGAAAACACTCTTGAAAATACTCCAGAATTTTGGTAGGGACAGTGGTTGTTTCCTTGGAAGTGGGCTTTCCTTTTTTCTGCAAGATTCTTCCTCCATTTGTCCATAATTTGAGAGTATAAAGCTGCAGAAAAAGCCAGTGGGTGTCAGCAGAGGCCAGGGTTCCAATCCCTACCTCTAGCGCACGTGCAAGTCCATATGGAGTTATTAGTTTTGAATATTTTCCTTGCAGAGAGAATTTATAGAAGAGTTTAATCACATGTGGCCTTCAGATATTTTTTCAAATACTGCCTCACCAGGGTTTGGACTACCAAAAATCCTTTCCAAATAAGACAAGAGAATGATAATTAGGAAACAACATTCTAATTCCTTGCCAATTTTTTAAAAGGTGGTGGTGGTGGTTCTAAAGGCATTGCTACAAAGGTAGTTCACTTAGGAGTAGGATAAGCTTGCCATCCTCTTAACTAACTATGGCTTCTTTATAAACTTTTAAACTGCAGCCATATGTTTAAGGACTGTCATCTTTACTGGAATTATGTATGGAAGTATTTTTAAAAGTGCCTTGATCATCAAGTCCAGTTTTTCCTCAGATTATCCCAAATGAGTGTGGGACTTCAGGAAACATATTTTTATGTTTCGACACAATTAGGGAAATCTGAGCATTTTTACGGGAATATGGGATCTAAGCTAAAAGATTTATGACCAGAGAGAGAGTGAATAGATCTTCTGGGATCTCTAATGTGACCAACAATTTTGTTCATCCAACCTGCTGATGCCAGTTGTTTAACAAAACTTCATGGACTTCTTCATTCTCTTTAGTTGTCTTACAATTTATCTTAAAGATAAATCCTAGAATTTATATTAAGATAAATCCTTTTACATTTATGTGTTGTATTACAATTTACATGATGCTTTTACACTCATTATTCCATGTAGTTCTTTTTTTTATTATTAAATTCTTTTATCAGTACATTGTAGGTATACAACACAATTACATTTCTCATTGGGAATTGTACCTTTATATAATGCATCTTGGTTCTTATTTTTTCCCCATTCCTAGCCCTCCCTTCACCCCCTCCACCCTTCCCTATTTACAAAGACTTTATTTCCATTTTTTCCATTTCTCATCATTTTTCCTTTCCCTTCTTTCCTTTCCCCTGCCCCTCCCACTACCCCTACCCCTTTGGACCTTTTCTTCCTATTTTACATTATCGATTATTCATTCTAATCATTGGTACATTTTAGGTATACAATATAATGACATTCATCATTGGAAATTTGCACCTTTACATAGTCTCTCTTGGTTCTAATTTTTCACCCTTGCCCAGCCTTCCCTTCAACCCCTCCATTCCTCCCTATTTACAAAGATTTTGTGCCTATTTTTCCATTTTCTCATATTAATCCCATTCCCTTCATGTAGTTCTTGCAATAATATTTGGAAATCAACTGGAATTTTTAGGAGTTATATTGCTTATGTCAATTTTTTTAAATGAGATGTGTTAAAACTGAAATTCAGTATACATGTAGGATAAGAGTTCTCTACCTATGACATTTAAGCACTTAATCATTATATCAATACCTTTCAAATGGTAGGCATTGCATCGGGTATCATTTGGATTTGTTGAGGCTGACCTCTTCCAAGATGAACATAAACCTCTGTCTGTTCCTAGGATGGCTCCTGATAATAACTTTCCTGGTGATTAGAAGAGAAATACAACAAAAGTACATGCATTAAGGGAAAAATCTGTATTCATGCTCTGCTGTTCAAATGCCTTTGAATCCCTTTAAAAATGTCAAGCAATAAACATAGACGTAATAGATTGATAGTTTCCAGAGTATTTTATGTGTATTTTCTTAACCGTATCTGAGATATATACAAACATCTACCTTTTGCAGATGAAGAAACAGAGGGTAAGAGAAGGCTCAAGCCCACATAGTCAGGAGGTGGTGCCCTGTGCCCCCCAGAGGAATGTGCCACCTCAGGCCTTGTGTTCCTCATGTTCCTCCTGTGAAAGAAACACTGAGATTATGATGAAAAACCAAGAAGCTACGGGTTCTGATTAAAGTACCACAAGCTCTGAAATCCTCAAATCATTTAAATATATCATTTCGTAAAGCCAGGGCCACCTGGGGGCCTGAGACCAGAGGAAAGCAGGAAGGATGCTGTTATAAGCAGAAGTGACTCAGGAATGCTGAGGGCCTGACGCGTCACCCACACAGAATGCTGGGGCGGCTAAGCTGAGGGCAGCTCCTGAAAGACTGCGCCTCCCTGATTTTAATTCATCCAATACATTTACTATGTGCACTTGATAAAAATTCACCATGGCAGTACCAATATGAGAATGTTGATTATTGCCTAAGAATCCATTTAGATGCAGAAAAGATAACTATTAAGAGTAGTCTTATAGCCCAGAGTGCAAAATTGGTACTCTGACAAGTAGAACAGTTTATCAAACTATATTGAGAGTCCTTTCAGAATTTGGTTCAGTACCTGTTTTTACCTTTTTTTGGTCTAACACCTCTATTCTTTTCATGAAACAGGCTCTTCAGAGGCAGGCTGGAAAACTGGAAGTCCAAGCCACACCCAAGAGCCCAGGTGGCCACCCATTCCCCTTGCATGCCTTTCTCGTGGTTTAATGAAAGCCGGAAAGGATCCTATTCCTTCAGGAGCCCGCCTTCGCCTACAAGTCCCTTTCAGCCTTCTCCTGAGACTCTAATTTCAGATAAAACGAGGTCCAAGGTAGAAAACACATGGATTAAAAAAGCAAACAAGAACATCTCAAAGCCCTTCTTTTCTTCAGTCTTTGGAAGACATTCTCAGCCTGTGTGTGTGCTCTGGATCCAAGGAACCAGTGATAACAGCGCGATAAGCACTGCATGGTGTTCCTTGTGTAGGGAAGAGAAAGCCTCGTGTAACCGACACCTGCTTTAATACTGCTCCATTCCCAAGTGTACATTCCTCTAATTGCCTGTCTTTTCACGTACTGCTGTTTAATCTCAGTTTGACAGTTAAGTCATGCTGGGAAAAATGCATTTGAATCATGAAACAGTATTATAGAGCTGTTTAATAAGTATTCTGCTTCAAATTACATTACAAAACTATTTTGCTGTGCTCTTCAAGATTAACTGGAAAACAGATAAATTTGGGACTGTATGTGTTCAACCCTGAATATGGAAAGCTCGTTACAAGAAGCCAGTGCTGACACAGCACCTGATTCATTCTGTTCAGATCAAACGTGCATACTGAACAGCTGCTACATCTGTCACCAAAGCTCTTTAACTCCACCAGAAGTAGGAATTAGATGCACAGATTGATGTGGTTTTAAATGCATAATGGTTATTTCCAGCATGACACTGCAAACCTTATCTAACATTTTATTGAACACATACAGTGGCTAACTTTCACTTGTTGTTTGGTCTCTTTTTTTCTGTGTTCACTTTTCTCAAACAGAAACATGTGATTAACGTTACTAGAACTTAATTCTTTTCTTGAAATCAACAGCTCCCAAGGTTTCGACCAGGGTCTGGGGTTGCATCTTCATCAGCAGTATCATGGTTATGTTCTGTGTTAAATTCCCTGTTGCTTATGTGTTGTTCTGGCCTAGCTCCATGATTCTAAAGTTTTAACAATCTTTTGAGTTTTTTGGGTATTGAGTTTTCCAGCCTCTGACATATTTATTCTTCATAACCAACTAAGTCTAATTCAAGGGAACCTAATGGAACATTTAACAGTCCAATTCCTAAGGAAGTACAACATGAAATAAGATGGTATTGGTGAAGTACTTAACATTCCCAACAATCCAGCCATTCTACAATTATTAGCAAAAGAAATTTTGACAGCAACAGACCATTTTGGTCTTTTAGTATTGGCTCAGAAACATCTCAATGTTGCTGGAATAATTCTACTACTATCTTGCACTGAAGAGACTCTAGATTTGGTTTGAAGTATTTCACAAGTGCAGCTTTACAGCCATTGTTAAGTTTGATTTTAATATCTGCTGACCATATTAATGAAGTCTTTGCGAAGTTTTACTGAACTACTCCACCTCCTAGCCCTGGGTGACTGTCCAGACGCATGTCTGTTCTGGACCATGCCTCTGGTGTTCTGCTGGTGCTGTGAGAGGGCTGTAGCCCAGCACATAACTGGTTGTGTGTTGTCAGACCACGCTTTCTGCCAGAACTCATCATCATAAAGGGTACATCCAGGGAGGATCTGCCACTCCTCATGGTATTAATCATAGCCAGCTGCATGCAGTCCTCCCCAAGGGTGCTCCAGCCACCTTCCTGATAGGAATCTCCATCTGTTCCTAATAACTCAGCCTCTCCACACCATCTTGTATTTTTACTTATGCTGTTACTCATCACAATTAGGGTCAAAGAAAATAAGCTTATTAGTATTGCTCCTCTGAGCAGTTACAAAGGATAATGAATTCTGTACCCTTGGAGAGAAAGTGAAGAATCATTCTTTAAAACACCTGTCCTTTCATCAGCTCCAGAAAGTGCCCAGCATTCCAATCAACTGTAAAAGGCTTGATATGCTCAGCCCCTGCCTAGTTGAAGGTCATCACTGAACTAAACCTGAGTTTCTTCTAAGACTGCTTAAAAAGGTCCTTTTGAGAACTTGCAAACACACCTACCTCCAAAATTCACTCACTCTGCTCATGTAACACCGAGATTCTTTTTTTTTTTTTTTTTTTTTTTGCAGAATTTTGCTTTCAATGATGACTTCAGCCCTAGCAGCACCAGTTCAGCAGACCTCAGCGGCTTAGGAGCAGAACCCAAAACCCCAGGGCTGTCTCAGTCCTTGTTGCTGTCGTCAGACGAGGTACTTCCAAGGCACTATGAGAGAACAGGCTTCTCAGACCTGAGGTTTTACTCCTGAACTCTCACAGGAACTTGTTTTTAGGGTAGATTCAGCATAGAAGTCTTCAGAACTGTAGTTTTATATTTAAAGTAGTGTGCACGATATCTTTCCCTCTCTGGCAACATGAAATCAAAGTGTTGTTTCTGAGACCCTTGAAGCTTTCCAGGGTCCCTTTTGCATACATAAACACACATGGTGGGGAGGCTAGGCACTGGAGAACAGAAACTAGGTAACAACTCAGATCACATGGAGCTGTACAATTGATCCATTTCCTTTCTCCCTTGTCTCCCCCACAGCCACCCCAATGCCATGATTCTGATATGCCTTCTAAATATGGTGTGCCCCCTGACTGAGTCATTGCAGTAGAGAGGCATAGTTGGGATAAGGAAGAAAAAGAAGGTACAAGCCACTTACTCAAAAGCTAGGGTCCAGATGAGCTTTGTTAAGAATTATCAGAGGAGGAGATCAGAGTGTAAGTGAGGCAGGAAATTCCAGTAGAGATTGACATCATTCCCGAAAGGGATGGGGTGGGGGAGGAAACAATGTAAGTGAAGATATTTTGGCTCTTATTTAAGTATTTATTTCTTTATAACATGATTTTTTGTTTTGTAAAGCGTTTTTCTCCTTGTAAATTTTTCTGTCAATATTCTTTGAGCTTGGAGTGATTTGTATTGTATTAAAATTGTGCACTGTGTATGTTGTGTGTCCTGTTTCTATAACCCTTTTCTTCTTGGTTCCTTTGTTGCCCCTCACTCAGAGCCTGGATATGATAGATGACGAGGTGAGCTATCAGTGGGCTGTGTGAGGCCTTGTGTGGGATTGTGTGGACCTGCTTTTCTCTATATATGAATGACTTAAAAATCAAATAATATGAGCACCCTTTCGTCTGTAGTAGGTTTCCTTGTGTTAAATAGCTTCACTTTGCCCTTGTCTAAATCTTAGCTAAAAGATATTCCAGAATGAAAAGAGTCTAAATTGCACTTCTAGAGTCCCTCGATTTCTCTCCCATCACCATTGCTTTGACATGGTTCATTCTTTCTCATCTCCTCTGCCTTCATCTCAGCTTCCCCAGCCCCTTCTCTCTGTTCCTCATGTGAGCTGAGTTGACTCATGTGACCAAGGCGACTCCTGACTTGTGCCTGAGACATTGCCTTCGTCGTTCACCATAGCCACCCTAGGAACTAACCTGCCCCTTTGCATTATTAAAAAGAGTATTCTACCATTGATAGAGCCTATAATTTAGAATAAGGCACTTAGTGTTGACCACTTATTGTTGTTAAGGGACTTATTAGTTGCATTACTCTAGACAAATCCTACAGACTTTCTGAGCCTCAGGTTCCTCATGTATTAAAAATAATCATGGATATGTCCTACCTTCCTTAACAGGTTTGCTTGTTGCTCACATGAAAAAATAGTTGTAAATTTTCCCCAAGAAGGCTTGAGGGTTTTAAATGCTTTCCTTTCCAAGTGAAAGATCCCTCGATATTTTTAGCGTGTTTTTCCAAACTCTAATATCTTAGAATCCAGAGTGATGCATCACGTGAAGAGATTTATGAAATACTTGTTTTCTACATCAAATATTTCCAGAGTGTTTAAATGTAAAAGTTTTCAACATTAGAGGATTTTTTTCCATTTAAACTTCTGAAATAACTTGTACTTTATTTGGGGGAATTTTAAAATTTCCATATAACTAAAACCATGTAGATAATAAGTATGTCTCTTTTTAATAGAACTAGAACCATTATCATTTTATGGTTTTAAAATGAGCGTGGCTCTAGTAGGTTAAGAAATTCCTTTTGGTAGCATAATATGAGACAGCATTTTGGTCCTTTAACAACAGTGCATAAATTCCTACCTCAGATCCTTGATGATGGACAGTCTCCCAAACACAGTCAGTATCAGAGTCGAGCCGTTCATGAATGGAGTGTGCAGCAGGTTTCTCACTGGTTAATGAGCCTAAGTCTGGAGCAGTATGTATCTGAATTCAGTTCCCAAAACATCACTGGAGAGCAACTCCTGCTGTTGGATGGAAATAAACTTAAGGTAAAGAAGTACATGTCTGTGTTAGGTTACCAGGTATGATTTATATTACAGCACCTAAAATGTTTTCATTAGATAAGAGTGTTCTCCATATTTGACAGGTAATTCTCATCACCACCCAGCAAAAAGGATGATGTCTAATTTCTTAGTAGGAAATGAAGTTTCAGAAAGTCCAAGTTCTGATTCAGATGGTAGGCAGCTGGTGAGGAGAACTAGGGATCCACTCCATTGTTTCACCTGGCAGCACATGACCCATGTATTAACTCTACTTAATTCCCATGTAGTATGAGTTTTAATAATGGCCATTCATCACATTAGAGTTGAGACCGAGACCCATGAATCTTCCTTCCCTTGTTCATTTCTCCTCCACAGCCCCCTTTCCTACACACCACTTCAAAACTGGGATGATGATCTCCCCAAAACTTTTCTTCTCCAAATGTGTGTGGGCTGTGTCTTCCCTCCCCCTCCATTGCACTCTCATTTCCACTTGTGCAGCCCATCTCTCCTAGAAACTAAGATGGCACCCACCCCTGTGGAAAAAGGGCAAACACAGTATCCAGCCAGCTCCATGCAACCCTCTCTACTGCCCCAGCCCCCTGCTAGACTGATGGTTAGATGAGTATCTCTTGACAGTCTTGAAAAGGTTAGAGATCAATCAATAGCTTGTGAATGTGAAGGCCCCATTGACAAAGCTGTCCCTGTTGGGGAGATGGATGCATCCTGCTGTTGGTTCTGAAGGTCATGAAACATTTAAAGTACACAACCTACTTCTCTTACTTTGAATTCCAAGCTAATCGAGCAGCCTCCTCATTATAATCAGCCTTTCTCTATAGGTCTGCTTACAGAGAGAGAAGGGCTAGTCATGCTGACATGAGCATTCTTGCTCCAAAGACATTTTTGGTTCTCATTGTAAATGAATACATTGGCAGAAAGGGAGCCATGTCAATTCTTCCTGCCCTTCATTGAGCTGTGTGTGGCAGCAGGTGCCCACCCCTACCATTTGAAGATATTGATGAGTGTAGAGATATTTTTCCCTGTAAAGTTCTACAGCCCAAAAGTTGGAGAAGTAGAATCACATTTTCATTCATTCACTCATTACCAATTTGAGAAGCATTTTCTTAACGAGGTTTAGGGTGCACTTTGCAAGGGATTTCAAAGGACACAGAAACAAGAGCCCCACTGTGTTCAGAGTTTTCCTCAGCGCATCCCATGTAGCAAATGTAATCAGTTCTTATCTCTTCTGTCTATGTTTGAATTGGTTCATGAGTCTGAATATATTGTGATATTAACCTTACCATAAGCAGAAAGATCAAAAGTTTTCAAATTTAATTTTTATCTATGTTTCCTACCTAGGCTCTTGGAATAACATCATCCCAGGATCGGGCAGTGATCAAAAAAAAACTGAAGGAAATGAAGATGTCTCTAGAGAAGGCTAGGAAGGCTCAAGAGAAAATGGAAAAACAAAGAGAAAAGCTAAGGAGGAAGGAACAGGAACAAATGCAGAGGAAGTCCAAGAAGGCGGAGAAGATGACATCAACTTCAACAGAGGGCGCTGGTGAGCAGTAATAGATACCCTCTTCCAGAGGGTGTGGATGTTCAAGAGAAGTTCCACCTCTTCCTGCCTGCCTGGTTCTCCTCCAGAGGATGAAGAAACTGATGTTGGGGTAATGCTGCTCTAGGCAGACTGAGGAACTGTGTGTTGAATGACTGCGTTTTCTGCAATAATAAAATGCACCCTTAAATTTATCCTCCTGAAATAAGCCCAAGCCACCTTTGGTTTATTAGCAAACCAGAAATCTCATTTATGAGAGATGCAAAGTCACTAAGTCTCTCTCCTCTCCTACTTATCAACATCCTGTCTTGTGCTGGGTATGTTGTGCCACTTGGAGAACCTGCCAACTGGAGCACAGTTCCCCCTGGTGTTGCTGAGGGAGCACCTAGAATGGTCAGGGTGGGATCCTGAACTTGGGCAGCTGTCATGAGATCTAGGATCTGTATCGTTTCTAGGGCTGCAGGATCTAGCCCATGTATGAGAAAGGTTCCCTCTCAGCTCTGTCTGGAGAGAGAGCTAGTCCCACTGTGGAAATGTGGATGCCCTGCCACATAATTACCTATGGAGGGAAAGAGCAAGCACACTGTTCTGCTTTCTGGGCATCAGAAAGAGAAAAAAAATTATAGTGATTTAACTATACAAGAAAGCAAAAGCCTTAAGAGCGTGTGTGTGGCAGCAATACCTTGGGATTCTAAGGGTAACATTTATCCTCCGGATATTGGTAAAGAAAGAAGAAAAAGTCAGACATTAATGCAGCCATGGGAGGTTGAAATCTGTTATTTACTTTGCTACCACTGAATGTTAAGTATTTTATCAACACCGGCAAACACAATACAGTTCCTCTTCTTCCCCAACAAATTGAACAGGAAATTGATTTTTAAGGAAACCAATATTTTCAGGTTTCTTCTCCCGGAGAACATTCCAGCTGGTCCTTACCCTGCCTATGACACAACCAGAAACTTGTCACATATTTTCTACTCAAAATTTCCCAAGTGGGCTCAGTGTTTCGGCAGACACACTTTTTAAAAAAATAGAAATACAAGTTAGAAAAAATTTAATTTGAGCAACATTCAACCACTGAACCAATTTTTTGAGCATACAGAACATCCTATAAAGAAGAGTTGCCAGATACATTTTAGGGATGTTCTGAATGGTTTATCTGAGCAATTCTCTTCCGCACCCTAGAGATTTCTCCTGAACAGTTTGCTTAAGGCAGTATATGGGATACATTATAGCAGTGGGAGGACTTTTGCTTATTTTAAAGCCAGTGTTAAGGAATTTGATATTTGACCAAACTGAGTTGAATACAGGAGACTGGGGCAGAAGGAGGAGAAAATAAAGTAAATCTTGAGAAATTTCAAATTATGAGGGTTTTTTAAAAAAATGTCGTTTGTTTTGCTTCTTACGCTTACTCTCATTCTCTTTGCTGCATGAGCACCAAAAATGAGGTCATCACTTTCCAAGGGACAAGTTTTGAAGTAAGACTTGAGACCATGAGAGTCTTTGGACAGGTGTCTCACTTCCTGTACAGTGGGCTTCTCTGCTTTGCTCCCAGCGCATCTACTTCTCCACTGCAAGCGCTCCACACACACAGCCTGGCGATGGTTCTCGAGGCCTGCACATAACAGAGAACATAAGGGGTTCTTCCCCAGATAGCCCCGTTTCTCATGTTCAACATTATGAGTTTATTGCTTATTATTATTAATATTTGAGTTCTGGAATTATGTAAACGAGAAATTTATGATCCTGTTCTTTCCCTAAAGTCTGTGTATTTTTCTATACCAGAGAATCATCTATTCGGATCATTCATTCAGTCCTAAAAAATATTGACATAGAATAACACCGTGCTTACGATGACCAGCGTTACTATTACATTTTTCTGTCTGTCTTCATTTGAGTTATCGTAATGAAACTACCACACCAGATACCTGTTAATATAGTGAGATATCTGGTGATTTGCTATTTGTTAATAGCACTGGAAACCAAGAGCCACTATTAATGAACTTAAAAATTCAGCAAATCTTTCCCAATACTAGAAGACTAAATTAGTAAATATCTGGTAATATTAGTGCTTGCTATTGTAAATTTTTGCCATTTTTGTTTTTCTTTGGGAAAAAAAAGTAACCTGGACCACACTGGAAATTTCATTGTTCTGATTCAAGAGTAGAAATAGAAAAATAATTATTTTATACTTTGCTTATATTTGAGAATGAATGTATATATTGGAAATGTCTATAAGTGTGTCTCTGCCCATAATTTATGATCTATTGTATTTTCTTAAATGTCTTAGAAGTATTGTTCCTTAATATAACATTATTTGTACACTCCAGATTTTAGATTAATATCCAGCTGACAGTGTTAAAAATCAAATTCTTATTCCTCAAGTCATTCAGTTTGTATTGTAACCATCTTGATTTTAAGGTAAATTATAGCAATTTTAGCTATAAATGAGTTCATTTAACCTTACTACTTAAAACTGCTGAAGTTGTAAAAGGCACTTGATTTGATTGCCCAACGAAAGATAAAATGTAAACTGATGGTTACAAAGGTGAAGGACCTCAGATCTTGTGAGCATTTTGTTTTCTTATTATTTCTTTTAGTGACTGTAGTGCATGATGACTAATTAAGGTTATAGTGTCTTACACAACTCCTACTTTAATGCTAGTATTTCTCAGTGTCCCTGTAATTTGACACAGAGTTGTTACTTCATGAACCTTAAAGACTTTGCATTTTTATTATCAAAAAATGAACATAAAGGGAATATGTGGTTACTTTGAAGTATATTCTAGTAAAGAATACCTCAGCATGGCTGTAACATAGCCAGAGGGGTTTGGGGTATGGGTCATGCTTTGGAGGGAGAGGTATGTGGCGAGACTAAACTGTAGACAGTGAGCACTGTAGGAGTAATGTCTGGGTCAGGTTTCCACTAAGGAGCTCCATAACAGATTACTCTGCTGAAGACTGCCTCTCTTACAGTAACTTACTTCTTTTGGGGGGTGCTGAATCAGAAGCATTCCTTAGTGTTCACTTAGGGCAGAAAGCCCATATCATCCGTGTTAGTACTCTGAGGAAGTCTGCCTTTGCTTTCATTACAAGAAAGCTGTTCTGTGGCTGTCATCCTTCAGCTGGGGTCCATGTGGATGTCTCACCCCCAGCTGCACACGGCCCTTAAACCCACCAGTTCACGATTGCAGTATGATGAGTATTAATGCCAGACACAGCTTCTAGCTGGCACCATATGAGAACTTCTACCCTAGGCCCCTTTGCTGTTGGGAACAAAATGGAAAGAAGGAAAGTGAGAACACATTAGCCCCAGCCACTGCCTGTGACTCCAGTCATTAATTGGAAATCCTAAAACATTCTAGGCCCAACATACAAGAATGTCCACAGGTTTTTTGATCCAGAGACACAGCCTTTATGATTTCTGCTGAAGATGAAGGAATCTCACGTGTGTTCTTTGTGCATTAAGATTAACATATTCTCAAAAGTTACGGTATAAAAAGGTAAATGAAAATTGTATTTATGCAGATATTGTAAATCATTTATAATCATGAAAAGTTAGAATAGACTGTTAACCAATTGTGTTCAGGAAAATTCTGAAGGAAAGAGTCTCAACACTTCTGAAAGAAACATTTGTACTTTGGAGATGTAGCCATTTCATTACACAGAGATATTTAAGAATTACCAAGTTCTACTTGAGTAGCTCCAGTGGAGCTAGAGACATGGGGCATGCCACGTGGGTGGACAGCAGTCACTAATGTTCATGTCACCTGCTTTAACACTTAAGACTAAAAGTAAATTGGAAATGAAAATCCTACCTTTTCCATTTTTTCTAATTCACTTTTAACTAAAGACCTACCTGTACACAATTCTAAAGGTAATTATTTAAGGATGAGATCCAGATGTAATATGTCTGTATTTTCCACCAAAAGTGTTCTCAGGATGATGGGGCAAGGGAGGGCACATTCTCAGAAAGCAGTATTACAGAAAATCCAAATGTGCTTCAGCCATCTACTCCTGAAAACCAGCCTGGGTATGTTAGCAGATTTTGTTTGCATTTGTCTTGAGTATTTTAAAGACTCAGGAAATACAGCCTTGATCCAAAACACTGAGGGGAAAACACCAAACAAAACACAGTTTAATAACTTGAAGTAGCAGCATAGAATAGGCCCAACTGAGAGACTAGAAGGAAGATAAAAAGTTTACAGAATCAACTCCCCTGGAAAGTGATAACAAGTCCTATTTATGGTGGGCAGAGGACCTTCCATGGTCAGACCTGGGTCCCTATTGAGCAGATGGTTAGTACTTGAATGTTCACATATGGGAGTGTGTGGACCAAGCACAGCCCATGTCCCAGATCCTCAGAGGAGGGAAGGAAAGAAACATGCTTTCCAGTCATTGGCCCAAGCCCAAAACCACTTGGGATTCAGCAGTGAATGATAGGTAAGGAATAAGAGAACAATAAATAATTTCTCAACATGCATGCCATTTGTGTAGACGTTCAGAACCACATATGTGTAGATGTATTTCTCAGCCTACACGTGTACATCACAATCCCATGGCATAAAACTGAATATGGAGCCTGGTGATGTCAGTTATGACCTTGAGCTGTAACCACGGCCTTATTGCCACATTTTGTGATGTCTACACATTGAGCAGCCCATTGATTTTAGGATTTTTAAACTGTAAGTATTCCTACTAAATGCACTTATCTTTCTACATGTTTAAATATTTTGGTAAAATTGATTTATTAGATACTTGGTATTTTAATAAGATAAAACTTCCTCAAGTGTTTGGTTAATGCTTTCATTTCAAGATTGCACATTTTTGAGTTAGAGCTCAGAAGATATTATGCAGCTTTGGGCATTTTCAACTGCAGACTGCAGTTTTCTTGGCTAAAAATTGCACTGTGTGTTCTTGTGCATTGACTTCTAAGATGACATCAGTAGCTGTGATGCTAAAGTCACCACTGCCTCTGATGGCAGTGTAGCCATTACATGACCATTTATTTACTTATTGTGCCAAATAATGGCATTTTGGTCATCTTGTGCTAAGTAATGGCATTTTGGATGTCCCCAAAAATAAAGTGAATCATTTTAAGTGTGAGTTGTTGGAAGGTGTACACTTCTGTTTCTTTCAGCTCTTTTATTCTTACACTTAGGCTTTCTGTTCAAGATTTAATCATCCACTCATGAAAGAAGAATTGGCCAAAAATAGATTACCCAAAAATGGCAGGAAGGGCCACCCTGGCTAGATAAGACCTCCCAACAACATCGAATGTAGTTAGTGCTTAGTGAAGTCCTTTAAATCTATATGCATATGCTTTCCTCAATATTAATATCAGAACTGCTGCTTTTGTACTTTTTAATGGTGTTGCGATTAAACCACAATTATACCTGCTACATATTACTAACAAAGCTGGGCAGCTGAGAAATAAAAGGGAATACATTCTGTTCTGTAAGGATTTGATTCACTTTCATATTTCTTTTTCACTAAAGAAAGTTGTTTGAAAATAAATTTGAGTCCAAAAAGTATGGGTAGCATGTTACCTGAACTTTTAATTTCTACATTTTGATGTCTGATTATTTGCATGGAAGAGACAGTAGTGCAATGTCTGAATTGTTCTCTTGTGCTTGGTTAATATGTACCATTTCAAATGCCATTCCTTATGCTTTTGTTTTCAGAGATACTCAAAGCAAAATATACCAGTGGTCTTTTATTTTCTGACCAATCTAAAAATACCTGTGATTAAATTTACTTTGTTAATGTAAATAAAAACTTCTTGCCAATGAGTATTATTGTTGTTAGACAACGAATGCAATAAAAAGAGAAATATGGAGATCTGTTGAAGTAATTTTTTTCCTCTTCCATTTTCACCTTCAACTAAAACAAGGCTTGATGGGGTAAACCCGTATTAACTGTCAAAACATATCCATCAATCAAAAGCAAAGTGCACATTTTTCAAGAGAATGAAACTAACACTAAGTTTTAACTCTAGTAAAGTGTAAATTGGCAGCTAGAATTACATTTGAAAGCACAATTATGGAACTGGGTATAAAGTTAAAAAAGCAAAGCCTCAGTCAAAGTTCCCTCGCTCATCTTTCTGTTCCCCTGCCGCCACTTCACCGTCAAGGGTTCTGATGCCTACCAACCAGGACAAGGTCTGTGACAAGTCCATTAGGCAGTCAGCCTCATACAGTGAGGGACAAGCTATGAAACAATCAGGCCCGTTCTGGAGCACAGGGTTATTTTAAACAGTTTTATTTCTACAACCTTCAAGATTCAGAACACTTGGATATAACATGAACAATATTAATGTCATTCTCACACAAGCTGTATCTGTGACTAAACTTTTGGCTATGTAAAAATGTATATCGGCATCACAGAATAGTGTATGAATTAAGCTGTTTTCCCCTTCAAGTATGTGTTAGATAATTCAAATCCAACATATATTCCTTTCAAATGAACTCGAATGCATGCTGTGTGAAACTGGACAGCTTACTACTTTTGCAGAATATGATTATTTCATTGCACATTTTATGGGGCTAACTATTCAAGGAATTATTTTTAAAGGAAATATGTAGGAGGGTTTTTCCTAGACACCACACTCATTAATAGTTATAGACAATATTTCAGAATCCACTTCCCTGGGTTGTGGCCAGATAATATCACCGAGTAACGGAGCACTCATGGGACACTTGGTAAGACGCTCATTGAGACTTTGACTAAAATAACCTGAATCTTGATACAGGAAAGTCTTTTTATCAAAACAGTGTTTTTGTTTATCACTTTAAATTGGTAGGCGTTAAACACTGTATTCCTAAAGTGACTACTTTTAATATTTGAGGTCCTATCTTCAAAAGACGAATGAAGATAGAAAACCTCTTTATATCAGCTTTCATACCAAATGGTGAAATCATGTTTTCTTCCCGTGTCTCAGAAGATAGCCAAAGCTTGTTTTGATCTTTTCTATTTATTTGTTTACCTTTGTATTTTTTTTCTTCTCAGCCTCCCCAGCTAGTTAGAATAGAAAAAAATTCAAGCAACAACAAAAAGCAATAAAACAACAAAAACACCTCTACCATCACCTGAACAACAGTGTAATCTTGGGGACAGTAAGCACTTGGATAGATTATGGGCTTCATTCTGTGTCACCTGTTGAGTGAGCACGCTTCCTCCTTCATCCAGGTCAATGAAATTAAAATGTACAACTTGTGCTGAGGTAACAGCCACTTACTCTTTTCAGGTGTGACAATGCTCCCAAGAATTTTAAGATGTTTCTACATGCTATTGGCATAGGAGAATCAAAAAAGATGGGAAAAGGAGAGTGGGACTGATTTAGGTTACTATCACCCAAGAAAGTCATGTGTAGAAAGGGAAAATGGGAATAAGGCTTGGGAATAGTTTGCTTGCCTCATCACAGGGACTCAATACCCAACACCAACAAATTAGAGAACCGGTTTATTTTTCCTCGCGTATCAGAAGGTTCAGTCCATGTTTTGCAGGCTCAAATGGAAACCATGGAAGTGGTTGGGTGGTCAAAAGCTGCTTGCATCATGTTACCTAGGAAGCAAGAGAAACCAAGCACAAGAATGTGCCCTTCCTGGTCACCTGCCAGTCACCCACCTCTTCTGACCAGACCCCACCTCCTAAGAGCCAGTGAACTCCAGGGCCCCCATGATCCAATCACCTCCTAAAAGCTCCGTCTCTGGGGGGTTATCACATATAAACCATAATAAAGTTTCTCAGTGCTGGTATGTCCCATGGCTTGGCTAAGTAGCCTGGGGTTTCAGGATATGTTTGGAGTACACATTTAGTTTCCTGGCATGTGACCAGGAGTTCCCAAGTAAAGACTGAAGCGGTAATACATGAACTCATCCTGATCACCTGTTTTCTGATGGAGAAATAGCAAGGCAGCAATATAACTTACTCCTGTGATTTTGGAGAATACAAGTTTGGGGGAAAGTATTTTTTTAACCACATACAGTTAAATTATTTAAGATCTGAAAATTGATATAGTAAATCGAACCATTTTATTGAAAAGTATCTTTTATTGGCAAATGAGGTTTTCAGGTATTCCAAGACTAATTTGATAATGCACCCTCAAAATGCCTGGCTTTCCACATCTGCTCCCTGTTAAACAGCACTTCCCTGTCTCCTGACGTCCAAATGCAGCGTCACCGTTCTTCCTCAGCTGGGATCTCTGCAGCCCCTCAGACAGGGGCAGGTGGCTGGCATGGGTTCCTGAGCACCGGGCTGTCAGAGCTCACAGTAGAGAGCCTTGTGGAACACCGTGCCAATGAGCACTTTCCCTTTGTACACAGAGGCGACTGTGGTACCTTGCAGCACGCTCCCGTTCTCTGCATAAACCACTGTTACTGTGGGTTCTTCTGTTAAAATGTTCTGGATTCGAATCACCTGTGAAGGAAATAACAGGAAGTTAATTATCTTTTAAAGTCACTTTAAACAACTTTATAAGGTTATTTCTCCATAAGAAACCATATTGTGTCCTATAACTACTTAAATCATATTTTGTTCCAAAATCACTCTATTTAAATACCTGTTTCCTCTTTTGGAAACAGGTTGTGATCTTTCACAGTGGCAAGAAGTGCACAGATGTACAGTGACAGGGCAGGAGGTGTAATGAACAGCACAGCCCAGGTGAGACACTGAGGGGTGCTGGGGACCATGGTGAGTACGTGGGGTATGGGGGCTGCTACTCAGGCACAGCCATGGCTGCCATGCTGGAACTCAGGTCTGATTTTGTATATTTTCAAATAAGCTATGAATTTGGAACCTCTTCTTAATTCTTGACCTTTAAATGGAGGCAATCAAAGGGGAAAAAAAGGCATAACTCCCTCCAACAACATCTGTACCATGCTTGTCCATTCGATTCCATTAAGGTCTCATCTCTAAATGTGTAAGATTCGATAATTTCAATTTCCTGCATTTAGTTGAGAATTTGTTTGCAGCATTAGAAATGCTGTAATGGGGCTGGTGATTTAGCTCAGTGGTTTCGCCACCTGCTACGCAAGTGCAAAGACCCGAGTTCGATCCCCGGTACCAAAAAAAAAGAAATCCTGTAAGGTCATGTTATACTCACCATATTAAATAGCTAATATTTGACCTTTGTGGCTGACAAAAATAGCAATTTCATATGATTCAACCTAATCTGCAGAGTCTTATTATACTGAGGCTGGAGAACTGGGTCCTATCTTGGATCTGCCACTTACATTTCTGTCTCATCTGAGATTGAGATGGGTGAGACTAGATTATTTCTGAATCCCCACCAGCTAGGGTAACACAGAGTAACTGGAAGACAGGGCACCTACATCACAAAACACAAACATGGCAGCCTGGGAAGCCAGTGGGCAAACAAAATGAGGCGTTCAAAATGACCTCTTTCCAACAGCTGGCACCAAAGACACATTTCTTAAGAAATTGCTGGAATGTCACCACGTAGCAGTTACTTACAGGGAAACAGATGATGGTGCACCTTGGCTTAACTAAGCCTCCTGGTAATAAAACTAAATCACTCTTTTATGGGGCTGTGCATTAGATCATGGATTGTTATTATTTTTTGCTACTCTTTACCAGATCCATCATTAGAAAGGAAATATTTTTTCCAGAACAACAAACCAAGTCCATGTTACAGTAAATGACCCAAGTTCACCAAATGAGCTAACGAGCAAGAACAAATTAGACTCTAACATTCTGGTCAGTTCTAAACCACAGACACTGCGTAACACATTCCTTCAATTCTGTTAAACACACCATTCAGCAATCCTGATAGCGAAAATCTCACAAAGAGCTATCATTAAATATGATCACAGTTTTCTGTAAACCTAGATATAAAAGACATGAGGACAGTAATTTAATTGAAAATACATATTTGACATTTTTATTCAAGAGATATGGTCTTTATTATTCCTCCCCTTTTGGGCAGATGAGAATGACTTAAAACAGCTTTGAAACTACTCAGCAGTAAACAAAGTATCAAAAAGAATATTATGCATTTGATATAAATAACAAGTATAATTAATACACACTGGAAATTCAAAATGGAAGCCCCTAGGTAAGTCATAGTAAACATTCAAATGTCTATGGCATAATGGGTTTCAAATTCTTATTTGCCCTGCAAAGTAATCTGCTGCACAAAGACTATGGACTCAAAATGAAATCTTTGAGCAGTACTATAACTAAGATGCAAATGGGATTCTTCTAAGCCAAAATAAATTCCAGTAAATGACTTATCTCCCCATTCTTCAGGGACTGTCTACAGAGAATGACCAATGTTGCTTTAGGATTGGTCCATGGTACTGATCTGTACATATATAATCACTCTCAGTTTAGAACGAGAATGTTCCCCAAGAGTCTCATGTGTTCAAAAGTGGGGATTTGAGAAGGTGATTGGATCACTGGGGTACTGTATTCATTAGTGGGTTCATCTACTATTAAATTCATAGCTGAATGTGCTGTTGGGAGGTGGGGCCTGGTCAGAAGAATTGGCTCCTCCTTCACACTCTGCTTCCTGGCCCCTCTAAACTGAGCAGCTTTGTTTCACCATGCCCTTCTGCCGTGGTGTCTCTGCCTGGGAGCCAGGCTACCAAGGACTGGACCTGTGAGCCACATTAAACTTCTCCTTTAAGTTGTAGGTGTGAAGTACTGTTTCTCAGAAACAGGAAAGGAAGTGACTAAAACAGGGTATCTATGCTCCAGCCTGCATCCCTCTAGCATCACCACTGGTTGCATCCCTCAGCTAGAGGCCAAGTTCCTCTCAGAGGTCCCTCTCTGCATCTCACTCCCCCATCCCACTTTTTTTTTTCAGGGATTGAACCC